AGCTGGAGCTTCTCTGGGGGTGCGGGGAGAGGGGGGGCAGCTCCTGCCACTCATTGCACTCCCGGGGAAGGCATGGGGGGGCATGTGTTCCCTGTATCTGTGTATGGGGCAAGGGTGGGTGCTGCCATGTGTTTGGGGCCGGAGGCTGTGCTGAACTGTTCCTGGTGGGGGGGGCTGGGCCCAGGCTGTGCTTGGGGCAGGGCAGGTGATGGTGGCGCTGGAAGAGGGGATATGGGGGGGGCCTACAGCCACCCCAAAATTCACCATAATGCCCCCTGCCAGGAAGAGCCTGGCGCAACCTCCAGCCCTGACCATGCAGTGGCAGCCTGCCCTTGCCCTATGCACAGATCTGGGAAGCACATGCCTCTTCTGGGGGTGTCTCAGTGGTGGGAACGGCCCCCCCCAGACAACCTGCAGCTCTGTCCTGTGATCCACCCCGCCCCAGCTTTGTAGCCCCTGCTCCTGCCCTGCTTCTCCCTCACTGCAGGGGGCCTCGATCTGTTCCCCCTCCCCTGCCCCACCCCTTTCTTCTACAGAGTTACTGGCTTTACAAGCTGCCAGGCTGCATTCCTAGCAGTGTGCATGCTGCAGTTGCATGCATGCGCGTGGCATTTATCAGCAACATTATCTGCCATATCAGACAAAAAAACAGCCGATTGCCAATAATGTTGATTTTCCTTTTATTGGTGCTGAAACAATATGGACCAGTATGCCTCTAGAAAGTAGTTTGCTAAATATTTTCCCTGGGAAAGTTTGAGTTTGCTACTGATTAGCCTTGATTGTTATTGAACTGAATAATAAATTTCTGTGTCACATTTTCAGTTGGTAAATGTCAGAGAAGCTATTGCAGAGAAGCCCGTAAGTGGCTTAGAAAGAGTCAGATTAATTTATACAACAGAGGTAAATTAAACAACTAACACAACTTGTTTCTGTTACTGCAGTTTTATAGACTAGAAGCTAACAAGGCACCACCTGCTAAATTTATGTCTGATAAATTAGAGAGCTTTGTTTTTGTTCCTCTAAGTCTTGAAGCACTGAGTCCTGTACACAGGGTACTTTACTGACAGTTAATAATTTAAAATGTTCTAAGGTTTTCAGTTTTCAGGCTGTCAGCCAAATGCACACGGAAGCAAGTTGGAGCACCTGGGTGACTGCCTTTCAAAATGGGTCATTTGGTTAGACAGCCTTTGGTTAGAGAGCCTTTCATTGAAAGGAATCCAGTATCTGAAGTTTATAAGAGGCATCAAAGCAGTAAACTTTAAAAAACTGCATATTGATAAATTCCCAACCACTTCAGAGCCACATGTTAACAAATCGCCTTGTAGAGTAGTAACACTATAACACCACAACCTCTACTCTCTGGCAGCTGTTAATAACGAAATGACATTTTGGCTTTTTTGGGCAGTTTCATTGTTTGAGTCCCTTTTAAACCATGCTATATTTCTGGTCTGTTTTTAGTTAATGAAGGCCTGGGGTGCTCATGTAACAGCAGTTTGTTCTCGGGATGCCAAATCACTAGTGACGAAGCTTGGAGCGGATGATGTAATTGATTACAAGTCTGGAGACACAGAAGAGCAACTGAAACTTCTTCCCTTGTAGGTATTGCTGTAGTTAGATATCTGTACTAGTGATTCTCAGCCAGTGTGCTGTGGCACCCTGGGGTCCCTTGAACTCCTTTCAAGGGTTTCCTGGGATTCCATGCAGTATTATCACTGTTAAGGGTACACATGTGATTCACAAAATAAATACAGATATTTTAAAGGAGAATCCATTGTCATAGAATCATAGAGAAGATGGGCTGCAAGGGACTTCCCAGAAGTAATCTAGTCCAATTGCCTGCCTGAAGCAGGATCATCTCTGTCCAAACCATTCCATACAAGGCATAATCTAACCTCCACATAAGGCTACCATCAACAGTGTTAACAGTGAGACCTGTTGTGGTCTTGCTCAGTTCTTTGCAACAGAAGAATTCCTCCATTATTTTTCAGTAGTCAAAAATAAGTGAGAACTAGGAATGGGCATTTGAGCAGTGCCTTGAGTTTAATGAGGGGTGCCTCAAGTCTGTCAAGGGGTGCCTTGAATCTAAAAACATTAAGAACCACTAATCTGAAAGATGGGTGGTAGCAAGCAAACAAGTTTTCGCTCCATATACCTTTTGGAGACTTGAATCTTAATTAGCTGATGAGACTCCCTTGTCTTCTGGGTTTTCAGCCTCCCTGTTTGTAACACTTCAAATTCCTAAAGCAAACGTTCCCCAACCTAGCTCTGAATATGGTTCGCAAAGTAACAAAAATGTAGACTACATGGTAGGGTTAAGACAGGGAAGATGGATTTTTGGGGAAAGAGTTCACTATTTAACCACAGATATGGTTGTGGTTTGCATAGTTATATGAGTTTCCATTCAAGCATTTTGAGGCGTTTTTACTAAATTCTGAAAGAGATCTCACAAACCACAAGAAGGGGACACTGAGGCATGGAACTGTTAGTAAATTGTTTTTGGTCCAGTGGTAAGAGCATGTCATGGGTGGGAATAGATTCAGCATTTCTCACTGTTGTGATAGTGTTCGAATGATATTGTAGCTGTGATGGTCCAGAAAGTATGTGAGAGGCAAGGATTTGTGTGGGTGATATCTTCTATTCATTGGACTTAACTGCCTGGTTGGACTAGATTTAGACAAACTTTGTTTGGCAGTTTTCTTGTCTGTTAGCTGCTCCTGGCAGTGTTTCTCCTCCAGTCTTATAGACCTGCAAACTGTTTGTGACCTGGTGTTTCCTCAGACCTGAAGAACACACTGCATTTGAAAGCTTGTTTAAGTCTATTCCAACCACAGAGTTGCTTGGTCCAATACAAGATACCTCCCACAGAAATCTTTGTCTTCAGCATTCCTGACACTCAGTACAGCCATGTCAGATAAGTAACACATGCAGCAAGATATGTACGTTTATGTTTAACAATTTTCCTTGGAATCAAAATTTGTCCTTGATAGGATTTTTGTAGCTTCTTTTTTGAAAGAATTATTCAGATCGATGTTTTGATAATTATATTTCAATCCAAATAATTTTATAGTTAAGTTTTATAGTAAAATGTTAGCTGGAAAAAAACCAAGAAGCTCTAGAATATGTGAACCTGTCTTTAATATTAAGGCTTGGGAAAACAAGCAGGTTACACTGACTTAAAAGAGAGCAGGGACTTACTGCAGAGCAGGTGATGCATGGTAACTATCTGTGTGCTACCCTAACTTTACGATAAGTGGAAGGTAAGCAGCTTAAAACATATAAACTAGCTGCAGCTCTTAGGCAACTTCTCATTCTCTTTTAACTTGGAGTAATTTGTTCATTTGTTCATACCCTAAACAATTAAGCCACTGTGCAGTGACATTGTTAGTTTATGTGTTGTGCCTGTAGTGCATGAGTAGTAACCATAATGTCCTTTGTGTTCAGTAGGCCTGGGGCCCAGTGAACTAGCATTTAGCTTGAGGTTTGGGACTTTGCTTCTTTGCTGTAGGCAATTTATGTCAATACAGAGCATCTGCAGATGGGAAATTTCAGCTTACACCACTCCCTGCCAAGAGCTAGCTGCACTCTGAATTAAGTGAGATAATGACAAGACTCTTCCTTTGTATTTTCAGAACAACACAGTGATTTGTTTTTTTTTTAAGCATGTCCTTTGCCTGTCTCCAGGTTTGATTTCATCCTAGATAATGTTGGTGGATCCACTGAGAAATGGGCTCTAAATTTCCTCAAGAGGTGGTCAGGAGCTACATATGTCACTTTAGTAACGCCCTTTCTACTGAATATGGATAGACTTGGTGTAGCAGATGGCATGTTACAAACGGGAATCACTATGAGTACTAAAGCTGTGAAGGTATGTTAACAACATGCAATATTTTAATGCTTGGCAACAGACCATGGATGCAGCCAGTTTACGGGTAAATTGGGCAGCTGCTTTGCTTGGTCTCTGTATGCTCAGTGGGGCAAATTCAGACTTACTTCACTATTCCTTCTCAAAACAAAAAATACACACAGGTGTGATGCTAGTTAAGGAAGAATTGGCGTCTGTCTGCCTGCTGGGTCAGAGAGATAGGAGAGTCACAGTTCTTATTTTTTATTGTAGCTTTCTATGTGTAAACTTCCTCCTGAGTCCTGTTGTTTTGTCAGCACTAAATGCAGCAAGTAAATCCCTGCTCCAGACACTGGGAAGTACTTTTTGCCATGGATTTTAGCTGAGTGAAATCCTAACAAGATATATTACTCCGTGGCAGTTTTTTTTTGGCTAAACCACTCCTCATGGAGGGAAATCCCACAACAAGGCATTTCTTCTTTAATCTCTTTCTTCTGCTGTGTCTAGGTGGCAAAGTTGTCACCCTGATTATTCCTCTCTTCAGTGACTTCTTACTCTGAGCATGGGAAAAAATAAGTTTGTTTTTGGAGTGTTTTGTTCTGTTTTTGCTTTGTTATGTTTTTAGCCCTGTAGAGTCCCTACTTGATATCATTGTTGATGAAGTTGGGACTGAACAATCACAGATTAACCTTGAAGCAACTGCCAGGGTTTAAAAAAAACTTTAATTGTAGGGTTGGGGCGGAAGGAGGAGGCAGCTGCTGCTGCTTTTTTTTTTTAAGATACAGTAAATATATTTCACTGAGTTTTTAATAAGAGTTAATTATACTATGCTGACAGTATCAGATGTTGGTTATTGCCTCAAAAAATAGATATGAAACTAGCACAGCTGCTACATAGCCATGTGACCCCACAAGTATACCTTAGCAACCCATTGTCAGGTAGTAATGACTTTCATTCATCACTGCTGCTAGATTTGAACCATTGGCCTAGAGTAGAAGGACTCCGGTTCATTCAGTTCCCTTTGTTAATATATGTGAACATAAAACTTGCACAATAAAACCTTGCACAATTTGTAGTTTGCATAAAAAGTCCCCTCATTTCTGGCTGTACAGAAAAGTCTGTTCTCACAGCTAATTAACTTGTACAATTGTGCACCAGAATTCACTCTGTTCCTATTGTGGCAACGCAGCCTCCATGTCTGTGTGTCTAACCATCTGCTTTGATGACATTTTTATCAACTATGACCAATAATTCCAGCCCTTGAAGTCTCATCTCTTGTTTTGCCCCCTCTCTTGTTTTTTTTAGTTCATATTTTTAATTTGGTATATGTATGCCTGTCTATTTCAGCACCTCTGTAAAGGAGTTCATTATCGATGGGCGTTTTTCACGCCAAGTGGCGTATTTTTGGATGAAATAGCGGAACTGGTCAATTCAGGAAAGGTATGTCAGAATCAGTCATTTAACCTTCTGTGTTATTGCCTAAATAAATGCTGCTTTAATTTTAAAAAATGTTGTGTAATGGAATAGTAAGCAATGAAATGTTGCAGTAGGTTTTCCATGACAAAAATGTTAGTGTTACTTTAAAATCCTCCTCTCACAGGTAGTTCCCTTTCCAGTATATAGAGCTTACACATGAGTGTTTCTCACTGTTAATGGTTAATTGCAGGAATTTTAAAATATGACATCTAAGAGGTTACAGGTAAAGTGATTTACTGTAGCTGCTACTTTTGCCACTGGAAATTGTGAGGATGAGTTTGCTGCAGAGAGGGTGTGGTGGCAGATGGGCTGTGGTGTTATGACAGTGCTTGTGGCATCACAGATTTCCCTTAACCCATAGTGTTTGGCTTACTTCATAGCACCTGTGTACTGTTGAAATGCATTCTTCTGCCTACACACTCCTGTTCCAACTGAGCCAAAGCCAGAAAGGAGGCAGAAACAATTGCCCTGAAAGTGGTCCCTACTGTTGCTCCTGAGCACAAGGGAGACAATGATCCTGTGAGCGGTGATGCACAGTACACTCAGGAGTACTGCAGAAGCACTATAGACATGCCCACTGTATTCATTGCTTTAAGCACAAATGTCATAGCTTAAAAAGAACCCACAGCAAGTGCTTCACTCCTGTGTCCTTGTGCAGCCATACTCAATAAATGCTAATTCAATGAGGTGCAGAATTACCATTTTTTTTCCAGGGTTACAATTTGTTCAGCTTCCTGGCCGGTTGCAGCACATTTGTGTTCTGTTCTTACCTTGTATTCAAAACAGAAATGCAGAATATGCCTGTGAATGTCTGTTTGGAAACACCTATTTATGCTATAGAGAGAAGGCTTAATTGGCTTTCACCTGTCTAATAATCTGGACAGGTGAATGCTAATGCCATTTAGAATGTACGTCATACATTTATGGATGTCCTGATGTACCTTTTGTTGTAAGATGATCATGAGAATAAAGGTGTTTGCTTAGTCTTTTATTCTGTGTCTACAAAAACAGATCATAATATCAGAGGTTATTTATCTACGTAGTCATTATACCAGCAGTATGTAAGTTATTACTTTATAAAATGGTTTGAACATCTGTAGTGCTAAAGGTGTGGGAAGAGACTAAAATGCACTTAGCTTAGATCTTTTAATATTGTGCATTTGTGTTGCCAGTATACGCTGCTTCCCTTGGACAGAGGGAACCAATGTTCAGTGGCATAGAAATATGAAAAGGGGAGGTGGAAAAGAGAGGGATACATCTGTCACAAAATGTCCTGTATCAGAGTTATCATTGATACTTTTTTGTGAAACTGGATTATCCTAGGGGTGCTGACAGACCTGACAGTGGCTCTGACAGACGCAACAATTTGATGCATGATCAGCTACTGGAAGTGGCTGACAGAAGTGCATGGCTGCAGAGCACTTTAAAAAGGTCCAATCGGGTGACAATCTGAACCCTCATTATGAGTGTTCAGATGAAGGCACTCCAAATCAGCACACTATGTGCTCATATGTTCATTAATATCTGTCAACACGGCTGGAAGTAGGGCTTATCTGACACAGCTGAGCTCTGCTCCCCATGCTGTCTTCCGAATGGGAGCAAGGAAAGAGAGTGGAGGGAACTCATTCTGGGGTTTGCCCAACCAATGCTGGAGAGTGGGCCAGAGAGCCCCCCAAGGTGGGGATGGCTCCAGTCCATCTGCCCCTCTCTCCAGCTCTGGCCGAGTAACCCTCAAAACAAGCCCTCACCTCTCCCTTCAACCCCTCCCGTTCCAAAGAGAGCACCAGGGCTTGGAGGCAGGAAGAGTGGCTGGAAAGACACAGCCATTCCTAAACTGCACCTCATTTTGCAATCCCTGAGACCCAACAGCAAATGTCTGTTGGGTCCTGGGGATAGCTGCAACTCCTGGCACTTCCTGTGAAGCATCATGTGTTACAGCTGGGAGCTGTGTGTGCCCTCAGTGAAGATTTTAAAAGCTGAAATGCAGGGTGGCTGGCCCTGCAGGTGGGCATTGCCTGTTGAAGGCACTAGAATCCTTCATTTGCTGGTGGGCTTTTGGGTCAGATTTTCATTCTCATTCAGCATGCAGGCTGAATATGTTTTTGGGTGACTCTAACCCAGTCCTTTCAAAATTGTATTGAATCATCTTGTAAACTTTGCAAAGACTTTTTTTTTGGTGGGCAGAGAGGAGGGACGAATTGTCTACCGTGAGGTAGAACATTAAGAGACTTCTTGAGGAAGGGCAGGTCACTGGCTTTGTGCGGGGAAGCATGGCTTGTTTGGAGGATTCTCTTACTTCTCTCTTTGCTCAGGTTAATGATTTAAAGAGGTGGAAACCTTTAAAAATATGCACCTTAAGTAATTTTTAAGTGTGCAAATGAAAACTGCCCTCTGAAAGTGTAGTCCTGGAATTATTGCAATCTCACCATGAGGTGCTGCATTCCATGCACCTCTGAACGCGAGCTTCCAACATGAGGGAGACCATGTACTGTGGGTTCTTGTTCCTCCCCAACATGGGCATGCTCACAAGATGGTTTACTGGAAAATGCATTAATTTAACTATGTAATGGCAGTGTGTATTGCAGCTTTCGGATACCCCAACATGAAATACGTTTGGCTATCAGATCTCTATTCATTGGTGAGAGTTAGTAGATGATAACATGCTGCACACATGATGATCTTTTCAAATGCTTTTTATTTATACACAAAATCCTATATGGGTATCACAGCAACAACAACATTCCAACCCTACAACTCATATCTATCAGTTGTTCTACCTAATCATAGGCTACATGCATGCCAAATTGGCATATGATTTTTAAGTAGGTTTGAGCAGTCACAAAAGTGCCTTAGCTGATTTAAGAGATTTTTCTTCTTGGATTACTCAAAGGTGACCAAAAAGAATTCTCTCAGACTTTTTAAAAATATCTCCCCTCTAGGCAGAGAACATACTGGAGAAGTCTTACCGTGGGCCTCTGTACAGTGTGCTGACAAATAAATAAAATATCTGTTAATAAAATATCTGTTTGAAAAGACATTTCCAAAATAGTGAGTAGTTCCTAAAGGCAGAATCTTTGGAAAAAGGGGATTTGCACCAAGTAAATTTCTCAGCTCTTTTCAGTCAGGAACATGCACACACTTCTCACATGACTGACTGTATCTCACATGGGTTCATTACTTTTATTCTTTGTAAATTATTTGTAGGGAGCTAGCAGCTGGGAGCCTCCATCATGGGCCATAGGTATTGTGATAGGTGCTATACATGCACAGCAGCAATGCTGTCCATACACCCAAACAACTTAGAGTCTGTATGGCCAGGTATACACTAGAAAAGGTTTGCCAGGGTAGCTAAACCAGCACATAGTCCTTCCGCAGATGCAGCTTTTATTGGCAAAAATGGGCCTTTGCTGGCACATAGTATATACTGGGCTTTTTGTGAAGTCATTTGTCTTTGTGAAAAAGCACTCGTTGCTAGCATAAGCAACTTGTTGCATCTTAAGCCTGTCTAACAGTGTCACAACAAAGTATCTTATTATCTGGTTTTCCCCTTTCACTTGGAAAGAACTTGGCTGTCCTGTGCATGCATGGGGAGGATTGTGGGAAGGGGCTAGAGAGCCACTAGTGCTGGAGATGATTTGGCCTGCATCTTTGCTGTTAGGGATTGGTTAACCACCCATATGAATGATTGCATTTGGTTTTCACATAGTCTCTCAGGGAGGCCAGATAGCACTGGTTGAAAGCATCAAAAATTAAACCGTTAGAGGCTTTTCTGTGTGGATGGAGTGACTATTAGGGGACGGTACTTGAGTAAAAGCTTGCAGTAAAGACCTACCTAGAAAGCAACCCCTCCTTGTTAGGGTCAATTGGAAAGCTTGCACCTACACTTCTTAACTTAGTGCGTTTCACGCTTTCTCATTAGACAGTCCTTGACTTCAATTTGCGTTCCATATTGGCTGGCCAGAACCCAAAAGTGTTGATTACTGAGAGAGACAGCAAAGGCTGTCTGTTAAATACCCCATCTCATCAAAAAAAATAGTCTGACTACCACTCATTGTGGAGATGTAAAAACATGTTGTGATTTTTTTTTTTTTTTTTTTTTTTTTTTTTTTTTTTTT